TAAAATACCATCAAGAGTCAACATGGTCTACATTACTTGGACGTCATCGTTGCTTAAGGGTCGTGGCCCCCGTTTTGGGTCACCGAACTAGGTCACAGTACTTTCTTGGGTCTAACTGGACCCAGTCTCCCAGACGGTCGTTTGGACGTTGCCCAGTGACCATCATATCGATCCTAAAACCCAGAGGGCCCATAAAGGGTGACCTACCGAACCTACTGTAAGTGGGTAGTAGAACAGAACGATGGAGGGTCTCCGTCTCTATCTCTATCTCCAGCTGATTGTTTTGGGTGACCTGCCGGGGGCCGAGCGGAACCAGACCTCGTCTCTTTGATCCAATGCTTTTGAGTTGTTTAGTTCGGGGGAAGGGGGCTCGGCCTCTGGGCCTCTCCTGATTTTGCTGTTGAAGCTGTGGCGGTTTTTCTGAAGCAGATCGTGAGGTCATACCAATGCTGTTGATTGGTGGACGCTGGGCATTCTCATCTTCGAGCTCATGGCTGGTCACCCTCCCTTTGAATCGGCCTACCCCATGCAGATCTATGCCAAGGCTGCGTCATATCAACACCGAAGTGAGTGGCGATCACCCGGCGGTGGAAACCGTTCCTCAAGTGGTTCCCTACCTCGGTTCCTCAAGCATCTCAACGGCCAAAGGTCGAGCACCGGACACATGCAAGAATCAGCTTTTGCGACCCTCCGTGCCCAATGGATTCCGGGTGCCACCGGGTGCAGCAGCACTTCTGGGCTTTTTGTTGGGTCCCCCTGCAGTTGGCCGGTGGGTCACCGGGTCGCATGCCAACCTGCCACGCGGTCACGGTTTCTTCTCCACCGTCCTCGACGGTTGAGGTGACGAAGGGCATCGGCAAGGTGCCATTTCCTTCCGTGATCAAGGGCACCTGTCGGAGCCTCATCGAGAGCCTCTTGAAGACTCTCGACCTGAGGGCGGAAGCAGACGGTGTTCCGGTGTTCGTGTGCACGGAGCCCCTGGTGGTTTGCGTGATCAAAAAGCATTTTAAAGAATTGGATCAGAAGTGAGTCTTTTTGAACGGTGGTTGGCATTGGGTTGTTTGATGTTGTTTGAGACACTCAAGTTCCTTTCTCAAACGTGCTTGCTGCTTGATGTCTGGAAGCTCTTTATTGAATGCCTTGTCGCATGGTGCAACCCTCATCTGTGGCTTTGTACGGGTGGCTTTGAGGGATGGCCATCAAAACGGATGGCCACGGCACGCGAGCGCACGCGATGTGAAGCATCGCATTCAACCGGAGACATGTCGTTTGGAGTGCGCAAGAGGGCCATGATAGCTTTGTGTTTAAGGCTGTGTGATATATATCTCTTTTGAGGCTTGCACTATTACTATTCTCCGACAAGGTTTCACGAACCAGAGCGCCCACCACGAGAATGGCTGAAGTTGGTGGCGTGGTGTCGCGCTCGTTTTCCAGGATGTGCTACCAGTTGTTGGGCCAATTCAAGAAGCTCCTTCTGGGTTTTCCACATCCCATCCCATCCCGAAGACGCACAAGAAGGGGAAGGATCCGATCCGCCGCCCGTGCCGCGCGATTCTCGCACGCGCTCCGCCAGGAACGACCCGGTGGAACGCTTGCCGATGAAGCCCGGCGGCGTGAAGAACCTCATCGGGCACAAGTGGTTCGAGACCTTCGCTGCTTGGCGCTGGAACCAGGTCCGGCGGTGACAAGGAGACTGGAGCATCCCCGGCACCCAAAGCAGGGTGGATGATGCGAAGATGACCCCGAGTTCAAAGGCAAAGGCATACTGAAGCTAGACGATGGAGTCCACAATCCAATTGATTGTCCGATCGTGCGATGTTTTGTGCCGTCGTTCTGTTTGTTCGCCGGATCCTTCCGACCGGGGAAAGTGCGGCACCTTCGCTCTCGTGGACGTCTGCTGACCGTCGACGTCGCTCGCTCCAAGGATTGGGAAGCACTCTCCGCTCAAGCCCAACTTCCACCTTATAAGCCGGTGGTGAAAAGTAAGAAGGACACGGGACCTCACGGGACACACCGCGGGAAGAAAAAGCAGGGAGAGGATGGGCCCTTTTTTCCATGTTTCAGTGTGAGGATGGCTGTGAAAAAGGGATGCTTTTCGTAGCCTCTGGGTCAAAATCAGAGCGTTGGATGGTGTGGAACATCAAGTTCAGTCAACATGATTTGACCGCGATGCCGGCTTTCTCCTCATCGCTTTCCCCGGAGGATTTACAGAACTTTGTGGCGCGAAAAGAGGACGCCCCAAGGACGATTGAGCCGCTTGTTGAAAAGCCGCACTGACGCCGGCAGGGCCGGCGCATGGTCGTTTTCAAACTCGTGCGGCTTTTGGGTTGGTTCACTTGACTGGTTTCTGAATGGCTGGTTAGTGGCCAGGGTTGAGACACATAATTATTGGAGTATTTTCAGACATTGTTTCCGCAGCCATTTCATTGTGAAGGCTTTGTTCACCCAACCCTAAGAAACTGCACATATAAGCCCTCCTGAACACAGCCTTATACACTCCACTGCGGACACGTGCACTGTGCACTTCTGTTCCTTGAGCCACAGTGGCCACCATAATTCGCTTAATGCCGGCGTGCGCAGCCTCTTTTTTTTCGGAAGAGGCTGTGGAACACAGCGAGGCCCTCTGTTTTCTCTTTAAGTAAAGGCTCGAGCCGAACGCTTAGAGTGGACGCGAGCAAGCAAACGGCTTTTGGGTGAAATCAGGTCCTGATGGTTTTTGGAAGTTGGTCGCTTCTCGTTGCCAGGCCTGCTGATGTGTGAGTGAAATGTGGGGGTGACAGTTGCAGATGTGTAAACTGTGTGGTAATTAGACGTTCGAATTGACACACCCATTCAGAATCCACTTCTGCACAGTCAGAATGACACACCAAGAATTTTCTCGCAGGCGCCGTCGTTTCAAAGCTTGTACTTGCATATAGAGCTACCCTAAGAGTCCAGGCCCTCAAACACACAGGGTTTGGTTCGGGTCCGGGCCCCTGCTATGGGTCCGACCCCTGCCATGGAGAGCCCGTAATAGTTGCATATAGGTTTTTGTTGTTGTTCGGGGGTGTTCATTGGAGGACATCACAGCACCTGTGTCAACTCTCCCCTTTGCATCGGCCCTGTGAAGCGCCGGCTCGGCACCCTTTTCGCCCATGACGGCCTGAAGCTGACGCCGTCCCGGGAGCCCATGACGGTGCCTCCGCTGAGGTATGTCGATCCAGGAACTGGATGGGACAAAGACTTCGCAACATCTCACTAATTGCCACTGGGACGGGGAGCCTGGCTGGGGTTCTTGCGTCTTCCAGAGCGTCGCGGGGTGAGCTCGGAACGTTCGGCTCTTTTGGAGAAAGCTGTTTGAGCCACTCCAGGAGTCTTGGGTGAATTTGTTGGGCAGAAGTCTGTTTGCCTGGGAATGAACTGTCGCATTGAGGGAATGGAGGGGCAAAGCAATGAGACCTTAAGATCGGTGCGCCATTGAACTGGAGTGCCGTTGATCATGATATGCATATTCGTAGATTAATTGATTAATTGAAGACGGTCTGGAAAAGCCTGCCGGAGTTGGAGATCATAGGGTCCACCTGATTCAACAGCTGGGATAGCTAGGATCACAGGCCAGTTCCTTGTAGTCACCCTAGGGCTCCAGTCGTACCTCCTCACAAGGTATGACTTGACCCTCTAAACCCACCCCAGTCCCACCTTCTTAGAAGGTACGACTGGAGCCCTAGGGTCAGAACAAAAGAACATCTTGCCCAAATTCGTGAGTTGGATGACTTTGGGTTGGACAGGCCACGGCTCCTCGTGCTTTTTGGTCCGGGACCTTGCGGACACCGGCATGACAAGTGGGCCGAAACCACAAGGTGCTGCGTCGCAAGGTGCGGAATAAGGTCCATGCATGGAGGCCTTTTGTTACCCCGAACTTCAGAATGCGTTGGCTCGAGTTCCCCTCCTGAGAAAGGTTTGAGCTAAGAAAATTGGTTCTTCCCATGCTTTTTGGGTGTGACGCTTGGTCCTTTCTTCGTGACCCTGGTACGTGGCTGAGGACTGCAGCGTGCTGCAGTTCGACACAACGCTTCACATCAGTTGAGCTGATTCACCCGACTTGTCATAGGCAGTTGGACTGAAAGACGATTATCGGCTGCATTTTGCAAAAAGAAGGGCCTGCCCGCAGTTGGATAGGATGATCGAAGGACATGTGGGGAAGATCGAAGAGACATGAAAAGACCATAAATCACCAGGCGAGGTACAAGAGACATGGAACCCACGACTTTATAGCAGCAGCTTTGTCTCAAAAGAGGGAGTGGTTCGGAGCCGCAGGGGTCTCCGTCCAGAAAATCCCTGGACCAACGGACGTTCCCCGTCTTCCTTTGCTAAACTCACGGAGTTTCCATGGTCGGTCTACCGTAATTATCGTTTAGACCAGCTATCGATTGCCCCGCTTCTCCCGCTCTTTTGAATGACACACCGTAAGGAAGGGACCAGGGACCCGCCCGTTCATCCGGGGGCAACGTTTCAGGCCTCTGAGAGTGGTGGTGGTTGGCGATTGGTGGTGGATGGCCTCCAACCTAGCAGCGATGGCCTCCAGTGGCGATGGCCTCCAACCGTACTTCAATCGTATGATTCCACAATATACTTTCATATTGCAATTTGTAACGGTTGGGTGCTACATGGTGCCAAGATCACCCCGCCTCACCGCGCTTTCAGAAAGGCTCAGGAGGCCGGAAGTGCTGTGGAACCCCGGGTTCACCGGCGAAGACCCAGAGAGCGACTTCCGTGGATGGGAACTCTCCACCCAAACGGTCAGCCCGAACACTTTCACCAAACCCGAACACGGTCCAGGCTGCCAAGCTCGAAAGGCCAAAGGCGGCCACATGCCAACGGACCGCTGGATGGTGACGGACCAGGTGTTCCGTTTTTTTCCCCAACAACAGCGGTCGTTATGCTTATTGCGTACTGGGCGAATTCATGCCCAACTGTTCTGTTTTCTCCTTCATTGTTCCACTCAGGAAACTGGAACCCCTCAGGCCCCCCCCATCGCCCTTGTCCTGCGCAGTTCGCAGAATGCCATGGCGGAGGGAACGGCGCCGAGCCAAGCCATCTGCGCCCTGGCACGGTCCAGGGCAGCGGTGCTGTGGCCACCCTTGGCAATGCTGATCCTGGCCGTGCTTATCGTGACCGGTTCGTCGAAACAGCGGCATCCGTTCGCGGGGTACGAAGCCAGCCAAACAAGCCAAGACGAGGCTAGACACGTGATGCGGATTGCAAGACGGCGGTCATCGAGCATCCTACAAAACGTCGACCTCATCCTCTCCCAACTCATAGATGGCCTTTACTATTATAGGTTGGTTGGAGGGGCTACCCCTGGTTGTGAACCACCAAACGCATGCCATGTACCTGGATGTACCTGGAAATGCACCCATTCATTCGCCCAACCAAGGTGATCTCTCACATCCTGGCAGTGCTCAGTGGGAAGTGCGAGGTCTTAGAGGCCGGTATCCAACGCACCGCCTACGTCGAGGAAATCAGCATCACCACTCGAAAGCCGCCTGAGAGCGCCCCGGACTCCCGTGTTTTCCAGGGGTGAAGAGCTCGGTGAGTCTCAGGCCTTGCTGGGGTGGTTCATCAGAATCCATGGGAATCCAGAGGGCCCATGGAGACGGCTAACCTTTGTTGATAGAGGAGATCACCCACAAGTGAAGAAGTGAAGAAGAGTCGATTTTCACTTTTATTCCGCCCGGGCGCCCAAGAGCGAACTCCACGGGCTTGGGGCTTGTAGAATTCGGTCACATCCGGTTGGCGGTTGGTGTATGGTTTTCGCAGCTCCATGCCATACGGTTATGTTCAGTGAGACGTTACTGTACTCAGAAGTTGGTCAGAGTCAACATGGTGCAAGCTCCCCCCTTCCATGCCTGACGCAGCTTGAAGCTCTCGATTCTCATTGAACCTCTATGTCTCATCATGCCCACCACAAACTGGAACCCTCGAAGCTGAGGCTACATTTGGACACTAGGTGTGGCCGTCACATGGGTGCTTTTCCTCCTTCCCAGCACCTTCTTTATTCACCTGGCCTTCTTCCGGCCGAGCAGCTCGCGCCTCCGCACGCGCCTCCGCACGTGGCTGCGCTGGGGCTTCTTGGGAATATCGGAGGCCTTCTTCGTGCTAGCGTCACTGGCGCTCGTGGGTGGCTAGGCCGACTGCAGGACAGCATGGACAGCAGGTTGTTTGGGGGACACCCACGACAAACTCGAAAAACATACCAGGACGCTCTTGGGGGTGCCAATGGAAGCCTATAGGTAGTGTGGGGTAGTCCATTGGACACCCCTTGGAGGGTCCTGGTATTATATATATATATATATTCATATTCCGCGATCGGCGATCGAAGATTCTGGGGTCAGAAATCACAAAAAACACGCTGAGTCCCGGCCTCGGAAGCTGCCAAGGCCTAGCCACAATCACGCATTCAGGGACCATTCTGGAGAATCAGCACCAGATCCCTGGTTTAGCGGTTTGTATCCTTTTTGGTCATTTTCCCTGTGGGTGACTCCCCTGCCGTTCTTTTGAACACATGGTTCCGAACAAGCCAGCCAATCCAAGGATCCCGGAGGGAGGTCTGATCCACCAGCAACTCTCCATCCTGCACCTTGGCATGTCCGGTCTCCGATCGCCTTGGACCGCCCGTCGCTCCCGCGTCTAACGGTGGCTCCGGACGAGCCCGGTACGCCCCGAATCCACACAGACCGATGCTGCAAGATGGGTAACTAGGAGAAAGGTCCGGAGACAGCACACCCACCACCATAGATGGAAGAGCACGGACCATGAGCTGTGGGGAATACTTGCAGTAAGACTTCCCATGAAGAAATAGGAGAAAGCTCGCTCACAACCACGTGAACGCCGCGATGGTTGTGAGGATCGGAAGTGACATGGTCAGTGACAGTCGTCCCTAGGCCTCGAATTCCACAAGCAAGGCATAGGTCACCTAGGTCTTTAGGTGAGCAGAGGGTCGGGACCATCCTGGTCAAAGAGCAACCAGGTCTTGTCATTCTTCAAGTCGTGACGACACAAGCGTCACAAAGTAGGTGAATAATACCAGCATATGCAAAGGCAGCTTCCAATAGTACATGCGCTACAATGAGAAAGCACCCTTCCGGCGACAATGCAACTGCTCCTCAACAAGGGATTTCACATCTGGCCACTCCAGCCCAACTCCAGCATTTCAGCCCCAGAAGCCATGCACGTGATCCTTTCTTCTGATGTCAGGTTGCTGCACAAGTGCAGCTGAACCGAACTGGTTCAAATTCCAAAGATCATTGGCCAAGCTCATATAGAGAAACTTACTATAAACCGACTTCAACCATATCATTGGGAACTGAACCATATCATTGGAGCAGGGGCAAAAACCGCAGCCCACCGCTCCCTCCCCATAGTCGCCCCGGCGGCCCGGGGCGACCCGTGTAGTCGACTTCGCCGCACCGAGTTGCAGAGGCTTTGGGTCTCTTTTTTGTAAACATATATATCTTTTTGTATCCTTTGTTTTTTGTAGGTCGATACCTTTTTCTTTTAGTAACTGAGTTGTTGCTTTTGTTGTTGTTGTTGTGGTGGCTGGCATGCGGCATTGGCATTTTCTCCTGGGCCACTGATTTCTCAGGTTTTTCCTGGCCTCCTTTCTCTCTGGCGGTTTCTTTCTGGCTGCCCGCGCCCTCCAGTGGCGCAGTGCCACGAAATGGGAGCGCAGGTGCCGCGCAGGTCATTCATCGGCCGTTTTTTGTTTTTGGAGACATATCGGTAACCTAGGAAAGTTGTTCTTTTTATTGTTGTGTGATGTTGTGTGAAGTGGAGGTTCTCAACACCTATTTGATTCCCTCGTTTGTCCAGTCGTGATGTTTCGATACTCCTCAGTGTGCAGTTTTGGTTCTTATCGAACTGTCTGCAGCTGCTGGAAGTGTTTTCACCCTGGGGCGGACAGACCGGCAGAGTGTGAAGCCAACAGAAAATTCCAAACTAACAAAGTGTGAACTAACAAAGAGTGGCCCAAGCAGTCAAGGGTAGAAAGGGTAAAGACTCAAAAGCATTGCAACCCTTCATCGGTAGCGCCCCCGGCAGGGTGAGGGTTAGCCTCAAGGGTTGTTGGCAACATGTTTTTTTTTGTGATTCAAAAAGCCAACATACGAGAAAGTCGAACCGAACAGCTCTGTCTAAAAATGTAAAGTCGAAAAGTAGCACCGTTAAAGCTTGTCCTCTTGTTTTTCTCATGATATTGCTTCATTTTGTAACTTTTCTCACCTCGCACATTTCTCGGTTTTCGAGTTGTCCAGGTGGAATGAACTTGGGAGAGCCCTCACCGTCCTCATCCTCCAACCCGGACCCCGCACTTTCAACCACTTCCCTACCACTTTCACACTCAGAACATCGGTGAGAAACCACCCGCCTTTTGAGGTCCTTTTGGCTGAAGCTAGCGGTGCTCATTTTCTTGATCCTTTGTGTATCACAACTGGTCCCCTTGCTCATCCTGGAAGCTGGGCTTCAGAGCTAGCGGTGCTCCGGCCACGTTCGTTCCGCCCGACCCGTGGCGCATGCGGAGCTGCGACCGTTCGTTCGTTCCGACCCTGCCTGGGGTCGAGGTGAGGGCGAGCTGCGGAGCTGCGAGCGATTCATCTGAGTGATAAGGGAGATGAAATCATATGGTGTACTCGAATTAGCGCGATGTTTTCTGACTGGACGGGTCAATGTGTTTTGGGAGGTGTGTTTGGGGGGGTTGATGTAGCCACGGTGATCCCATGTGATCCCGTTGAAGGTCCTCCTCCAAACAGGTGGAATCCGTTCGATGCAGCCCAGAGCGAGGTTTGGAGCGTTGGGAGCCTGCGTCAGACTTCCGACAAAGGTGCAAACCCGATGGCAAGTACTATATATGGAGTCAAGAATCGGCACTACTTGGCTTGGACTACGCCACGTCCTGCCCCCCACATCTGCCCCAGTCTCTGTCCCTGAAACCAGCACCAAACTCACCACCTTCATGTCACCAGATGGCACCGGGCCCCTCCCATTCTCCACGACCGCCATGCACCCGGTGCGAGGAGTTGATTCCGCCCTTGCGCAGTGGTGAGGAGGTCCGGGCCAAGAACTTGCGTGGCTTGACGCAGAGGCTCTCAGTGCTGGGCATTATGGCCCCTTGGCGTGGAGGGAGAGGACTGGTGGAAGAGTGGAAGTGGAGAGACGCTTGGAATCTAGAAGGAAGAAACCAAAGAGAACAGATGGAAAACCGTACAACCATTTTCATTTTCGAAAGGGGGGGTTAGGTCCCCCCCCCTTAAAACGGTGGGGATGTACAAAAGAATTCAAAAGAGCATGGCCCAGGCTCTTACTTAAGGAGTGCAGTGGACCAGTGGCGGACGGCTGCGTGTTCCCCATTTGTGAGTATCTGCCTACAATCAATGCAATTCGCAAATCCGATAAAACCCATCAAAAAACACAACTTCAAACACTCCGAGAAAACACAAAACACTGCAGACCCCACGAACCATGCCAAGAATTCATACATGGGGTGTGCAGTTATTTTTTTGTTTTCTCGAGGTTCTGGAGAAAACCAAAGAAAGAACAAAACTGCAGACCCCATGAACCATCCCAAGGCTTCAGACATGGGTTTTTGTGAACCATCCCAAAAACTGACACCTCGGATTGAAGACTTCCCTTGGATTGGACACGGGGTCAAAAAACGGGGCTCCGAGGTCTTTACCGCCAGCTATGCCTGGGATATCAAGGGCATGCAAGAACGCCTGAAGCCACATGACTAAGCTCAGCGAGGAGGCTGAGTTCGAGGTGTAGGTGTTGCCCAACCACGTTGAGGTGTTGGACACGAAACGGCTTGAAATGGGTTGAACAACTGAAGGCCATGCTCACCAAACAGCGTGCGACAGGATGGCCAAGAAAGCACTGCCACCTAACCAAAGATCAACCCTCATGCTTTGTCAGTGCCTGACAGCTAGAAAGAAAAGACACGTCTCGTGGCTCCTCCCCCCTGGCCCTCCAGGATCTCGCGTGCACTTGGCAGTTTTAGACATGCAACTCCCACATCAAGAGCAGTTCAGTTCACCCATTTCAACCACCTCACAAGGGCCACTCTAGACCAGCCAGTCTCCGCAGTCGGCAGTGCCCTCGGTTCCTGGGGACGTGATGAGGTACCAAGAGGAAGCAGCGGCAGTGGAAGAAGTGATCACGGTAGAAGGGTGAGCAACGACTCACAGGATCGGATTTAACCCTCAGCTCGGTAGTGGGTCTGGTAGTGGGTCTGAGCCGGACTAGAAGGACTTGATCCAAGAAAGATTCTTGGCGAACCTGTCCCCAGTGTTATGGCTTCTGACCTGGAATTGTGGTTTCTGCTGCTTTGAGCCTCAAAGAGGCTCTCAGTAGGACATACCTGGAGAGCTCACCGCCCAAACTCGGGTTCTTGGAGCTCGACTCGGCCCTGACAGCGATCCAGACACGTGCTCTTTGTGTGCATGAAATGGCGTTTTGTCGATTTCAGGTCGGTCCGCTGGTTTTTTCTCCGTGCCGGGTGGAGTCGATGGGCTGAGCTTTTGGATCATTGAAAGTGGGTGGGCTACTAGCGTCTGGACGCTTGTTACTAGTAGCGATGCCCTTGTTAGTAGCGATGCCCCTGCTACCAGTAACCAGTAGCGTCTGGTACTAATGCCCTGGACGCTACGTTCGTAGCGTCCTTGCATGTCCTTGCTATTGCAGCGGGATGGCCACAGATGGCCACGTCTTGGACGCACTGAGGAGCTGTGTGGCTTTGAAACCGGGTTCGGTCGCTGAGCCTCCTTAGTCGAGGATCAATTTGACTTCCTTCAATTCGGGGTCACACATGGAAGCCTCTACACCATACTGTCCTGCGATGAAACCGGTGCGATCGAGTCATGACGGCATGTGGCATGAGAACCACTTTTTCCCGAAGGCCTTGAGCCTACGGCTCGCCCAAGCGAAAAGGTCCGCTGCCGCACCAGCGTGGCACTTGTGTTTTGTCCGGCTTGCCCATAAGCTGGGCATCTTGTGTTTTCGTTCGAAGCCATCTACATCCTAGTGTTTGTGATTGGCATCACCCACTACCCATAGGGTGTTGGCACTCTAGCTACCGCATTGGTAGCGGAGCGCCTGGTCGCTCCAGCGCTCTTGGTGTGGCTTTGTCAAGGTCCTGACCTTGGAGGCAGAGATCCACGACCACGAGCGGTCGGACTTCGTGGCGGTCAAGGTCGCCTCCGCAGCGGTTCAGTGTCTTCCCGCCTGTTGTTTTTGGATATCCTCCATCCGTGAGGAGGAGACTTCTTTCGTTGTCTCCTGAGAGGGAAGAACCACATCCTGAACCTCAAGGACGTCCTGACCGACCAGAACCAGATCCTGAGCCTGAGCCCGGTGACTCTCCGCGGTTACGACACCAAGGACTTGATCGTCGACAGGCTGTGGATCCGCTTCTGGCCACGCGGCTTGGGGGCTTGTGGCTATCGCCTGAACGCCGAGAATAAGATCGGCGGCCTTTCTCCATACTTCTTCGAGGATTTTGACCTGACGGTCTTCCTTGGGGAACCTTTTCCAGGACTTTGTGATCCTGATCTTCACCTTTTTCCACTTCTTTGCCAACGGCAATTTCACCATGGAGCCGAAACAAACGGCTGAAACAATACCTTCGTGGGACGGAAATCCACGGGGTTGGAGGCGCTACCAGCGAGAGGTAGCATGGTATGTCCTGGGCACCAAGAAGAACCAGCGAGCCCTCATTGGTCCACGCCTGGTGTCGAAGCTGACTGGCCCTGCCAGGTTGCTGGCAATGTCATGGAACCGAACGGACATTGCAGGTTCCAATGGAGTTCAATCTATGATGAAGAAACTGGAAGCTTCACCACTTGTTCGAAGAAAACTTCCCAACACCGCCGCTGTCATGCAGCAATATTTCACCTACAAACGCATCCAAGGCGAAAGTGTTAGTGCCTACCTCGTCAGAGAAACGCTCTTCTTTGAGGAGTTCTTGGAGTCCTTGATGGACTTGAAGGATGGACCCTCCATGGACTTCATCTTCGACGAGATCGACCCCAACACCGACGAGGAGGACGATGATGATGGTGGTGCTTCATCCAATGCTGGATCCAAGAAGAAGGAATCGCCGAAAGGCTATGAGAAGATTCCCCAACGAGATCCTGATGGAGGAGATCCCGATGAACCTGGTTCTCGAGCAGCTTCACGTGCAGCTCCACGAGGAGGACCTACTTCCTTGTCCACCACCGACTCCTTCATCTTGACCCAGTTGAGGGGTTGGAGATTGCTCAGCGGTGCATCCGTGAACGCTGAGGAATGGCGCTCCATATTGGCCAGCACGAAGAACCAATTGGACTATGACTCAGTGAGCTCGGCCTTGATGATCCTCTTCGATGAGCAAGCCCAACATCATCGCCATGCCCAAGCTCATGGTCCTGTGCACTCCCTTCACCATGTGGAGGAGGATGATTGGGGCTGGCAAGATGACTCCAGTTGGGATTGGTCAGATCCCTGGGCTAACATGGCCTGGGAATCCGGAGACTGGTACTATGAGAATGACGCCATTGAGGAGGCAGAATCCACACCTGCTCCTGAAGACCAAGGTGGTACCAGCGAACCTCCTCAAGAAGCTCTGGCTGCTGATCGGTCATGGTCTCAAGCCCAGAGGACAAGTCAAATGATCCGAAAGGTTCGAGGGTTTGGCCAGTCTGGTCAATCTTCCTCCCATCGCGGATGCTTCAACTGCGGTGGAAACCACCTGGCTCGAGACTGCCCCGACCGACATGCACCACCTCACAAAGGAAAAGGATATGGGAAAAACATGCACATGGCCTACGACGACGGCTATGACACGATGGCCTTCACCAAAGGCAAAGGCAAGGGCAAATCGTCTGGTAAGATGGCCCACCTCATGGAGGAGTTCGTGAACTACTACTACTCCAAGGGGAAGTCCAAAGGAAACCAGAAGGGTAAGTTCCAGAGCAAGAATCGCAACAATGTCAACGCCTATGCCCTGGACACCTTCGACTTCCACGGTCTTCAATTTGACCGCGAACCTCATGAGGGAGCCCTTGACCTGTCCAAGGTTGAACAGGAGAATCCTGGAAATTTGGGGATGATGGACTGCGGAGCAACCTGCTCTGCTGGTCCTGAGACCTCCATCAACCGCCTGGTGACCTCCATCCTGGCTGTGGACAAGAGCGCATCAGTCAAGATCGATGGAAAAAGACGACCAAGGTTTCGTTTCGGTTCTGGCAGCTGGGGTCGTGCCATTTTCCACATCTCCATTTGTTCAAGCCTCACCGGAAGAACATTTGAAGCATTCACACTGCCAGATCCTCCCGAGACAAAGGAAGATTGGTTCGATTCGTCGATGCTGGTGCCAGTCCTGGTTGGCATGGATTTCATTAGGGGAAACGGTCTCATCATCGACTTCCAGGATGGTTATGCTGTTTGTGGAGCCCTTGAAGGAAGTCAACCGTTCTACCTCCCCCAGAATGCCAAACAGCACTACATGATTGACCTGGTGGACTTCCTTTG